ATACATTAAAATATACTTATCAAATCCTCCTCTTCTGTGTTCATTACTTTTATAATGTAAAAGAGCTTTACTGAATCTTGAAATGTCAAGAGGCATAAATGCAGTGGAACTTACGAAATTGTGCATAATTCTGAATAACATGTCTTCTGAGTAAATAGAATGTTGTTGCTGCTTACATAGGTGCCATAGTCTCACGGGAATGGGGCTGATTACATCCATCTCTGTTGAAGAAAATGGTTGAGAGAAATTTAAATTACCATGTATATAGGAGATTGAATCTAAATTTCAAGGTTTTTGGGAGTTCAACTCTATAATTATCTTATTTAGTTATACAGGGTGTTGGGGTGGTTTTTGCATACTCTTCATTAAAAACTTTTGATATAGGTACTCATGATATTCTTGAATTAATGAATTAATTCTCCACTTTCAAAACTTGAAAACTACAGAATTAAGAAAACAGTGTTAAGATGAGGTTTATTTATTTTAATAATTATTATGATCTATATAAATCACTAATTTAGCAGGTAAAATGTGAATGTTTTACATTCATTCATTTTTACATTTCATACTTTCTCATTGACTGTGAAAACAACTACAGTTTTTATGATTTGGAGTGCACATTTTGATAACTAAATCATTTCTTTTTGTGAATGCCCTTCTTATTTTTTGCTGTTTTAGAAATTATTTTTAAAAAGCTTGGGTATGGTTATCATAGTGAATGCTAGACAAATGCTTGATTATCTCTAAGAATTAACACCATAAAATTATTTATGTTCTAGGTGTATATAAGGGGATATTGCAATACAGGGGGAATATCTGAGAAAGCACACTTGAAAATAATTTGTTTATATCAATATGCATTTTTTTGATAATCAGGTATGTACATTACAGTTACTGGTTATAATAGTACTAGGTACTTAAATGGCTTATAAAAATCACTTTTGTATTTGTGGATACTGAACTGAATATTCCTCTCTTTGAAGTAGATATGCCTAGTTAAGTCATGCTTTGTTTTAATTTTGGTTCTTTGGAAGATTGTAGCTTTGAAAGGCTCTTGGCATAGACACACTTTTGGGGTTGTAAAAGAGAAAGGTATATTTTTACCAAAGTTATGTTAATCATGAGTAAACTAGAATTTATGAATACATTCCAGGGCCATGCAACTCTAATGGCTCACAATGAATTTAGTCCAGTGGAGATTGTCAACACAAGATAATAAAATATAAATTTCTTTTAAAATTTTATAGGGTCTAGGGTCTAGGCTTTTATGATGAAAATCTCTTTCTTACAAATTAAGTATAAAGTATCTCTTGATAAATTGAACTGACTTAAAGCAAAGGATCATTTATCAGCTCTGAAAACAGTGTATGACTCATGCTTCCCTTAGAATAATCCTCTCTGGTTCATTCATGTTGCCGCAAATGGCATAGGCTTATCTTTTTGATGGCTGAGTAGTATTTCATTGTGTACATGTACCACATCTTCTTGATCAACTCATCTGTTTTGGGGCTTTTAGGTTGTTTGCACCTCCACTGTGGACATTTTGGTGGTGGGAAAACTGTGGTGACCACATCTGAGTGGAGAAATCCTGTATTGTGAAAAAATTAATGGATATTTAAAAAAACAAAATAAAACTATTAAACATTTAACAAATGGAGATATTGTGAACTTAAAGTTTGTATAACTGGCATGAAGTCACTTAGCCACTACTGAATAATGGACTGGCTGACTCCAGTGTCTAAACTTCTAACTGCTTCCTTCTGTTTTGGCTTTCCCCAGTTTCCACTATGCTCTTTAGTAATAATCTTTGCCACCTTTGTAGCTAGTAAGAATGATACTTTCAACATTAGGACTTTTCTTTTATTGAATCTTTTGGAGTGAACATATATTTTTTGAAAGCTTAGAAGAAAATATAATGTGTTTCCAGTATTTTGATAACTGTGTGATATTGTCTTTACCACTGTCTAAAAAAGAGGAAATTTTTTATTTAAAAATACTACTTATCAGTTAGACATGATTTTTAGTACATTGAAAATATTGCATTAATTAAAAGCAGATACAACTCAAGAAGCTCTAATTTTGGAAGTAATGTATACACATTCATGGTATGTGGGAAAGTATAACCTGATATTTTGTCCTTATGAGTAATGTACTCATAAAGGCACTTTTTCTTAATGATAAAGTAGTCTATAGGATATCAGGACCAAATCCTTTATTCTAAATTAAATATTTCCATTTTAATAACTTTTTTGCTATGCAATGGTGGTTTAGTGGTCACAGAAAAGCTTCTAAGATATTTTTTCATGTCAACATTCTTTCACTACAACATTATGCAGGATTTTCCAGATTTTCTTCTCTTCCTCAAACCCAACTGAAATTGCAGAAGTGGAGAAAATGTCTGTTTACTCTTTCCAAATAAAATGTTTGTTGCTTTTGTTACTTACACATTTTCACAGTTCCCTGAAACCAAAACCGCACTGGCTGAAAAATTAAGTATAAAATAGTGCTTGGACAAACATTTTCTCTATGAAGCAATTGTTACTAAATACCTTTGGATCAACAAACTGGTAATTTTCAAAAGCTTTTGAATTATATTTCTCCTAGTATATTTGACAAAGCTCAATCAATTTCAGTAAACTTATTGGGAGCCCAGAAAAATTCTAGGAAAATTTTATTTATTAACTACTATCGCTCTGAATGATTTCAGTTCTTCTGAATCATTCTCCCTCTTAACAGTCCTTTATCCCATGAGTGCTCATGCTATTATGTTAGTTTTTCCAAGAATTACATTTACAAATTAGTTTCACATTTTTAAACATAATGTTTTATGTATCTTTTCCTTGATATTGATAAAATAATTTTTATTGTTTGTGGTATAATTGGCTATAATTTCATAACTAAGAAATGCATTTTGATGCATTTAACTAACTTAAGACTACAGGAAAATGACTGTAATCTGGAATGTCCTTCTCCCCAATACACTCAGTATTCACTATATTGAAGTAGTATATAATTTATGACTTCACTAATATAAAAATAACAGTGTTGGAATTAGATGAAAGGGTATCAAATCAGATCCAGATTGTAAACTAGGATGCTCAAGGACTCCTGAGATGTGGAGGTGGGGGTTCTGATCAGGGATACCTGGGTATGACTTTCTCAGGGTGACACTGCACGGATCTTCAGAAACAGAAGTAGAGTCAGAATATCTGTAACTAATTCCCACTTATATCATAGATCCTTGAAAGGCAAAGGAACTTAAATAGTAATGCAACCCTCAATAATAAAGGAATCTGCAAGAAGATCCATTTCTCAGATCTGACAGTGTCATGGGCAATTGCATGGCTCCTTAGGGATTCCCAAAGCCTCGGGATACTGTATTGACACAGCAGCTCCAGTTCTGGAACAATGTGTGGCCACCTTGTATCACAGAAGATTTTATAGACACATTTTATTTAAGTTCAGCACTTAATCTAAACAGGGAGTTTGCATCTATGTGCATGTGTGTATTTGAATGGGATAATTTCATGCCAAATATTATAGGAAGCCCTTTGCTCATGTTTTATGATGTTAGTTTGAATTATTTTTTTATATTACTCTGTATTTAGTGCTTTTAAAGACTTTCTTTCAGGAAGACTGAGTTCGTTGTTGATCGTCATTGCTCACATACAACTTTTGATCTCTGCATAGGACATAGTGCCATGGCAAATTGAGCTGAATAGAATCAAATTGAATTCCAATTTATGATTCAAGCTTAGATTTTAAAACTAGAACTATATGCTTGTGCCTTGCACTATAATTATGGCTAACACATTGATGAGTTTTGTGTTAGTAAAGTTAAGGTGTAATAATCAAAATAATGGCAAGCTCCCTGTAATGGAAGATACTGGATCTCATTGATAGTGGCAACTGAACAGAACAAGTGTTAATTTTCAATTTAAGTATCATCAGGGAAGGAGTGAAGAAAAATGAATAAGAAATGATTCATTGATTAGCACTGTTACGGTTTGTTTTTGGTGATAAATATTCATATTGGTAAGTGTATTGAATGACACTCTTTCCCACTAATAAATGTGCTTCTTATTTTCAATTTATAGAATTTACATTATTTTTTTCTGAGTCTTGTTAGAGAACTTATACATTTGGGTGCAGCAATGTGAGAGTTCTGTGTCATTTATTTTGTCTCTCAGCAAACTGATTTGCATATTCTTTATGATTTTATCACCAATGGAATCACTTAGCAAAAGATTGCAGTTTTATTTATTTTTAAACGTTTTATTTTTTTAAGATTTATTTATTTATGCATATAAGAACAGGCCAGAGGTGTAGGAGGTGAGAGGATTCACCAGAGACAGAGTGGGGAGCAGAACAGGCAGATCCTCTGAAATACACTGCTGAGTGTAACAGCGGGCAAGTCAGGAAAGGTCTGCTGCACCATGTGAGATCGAACTCGTGCTTCAGAGACTGCGATAGCTTCACAGTGCTGTGCTTAACTCCCTGTACTACCAGGGAGGCCTGAAAGATTGCAGTTTTAAACATAGTTAGGTTCCTGGGTCTTTCAAGGTATACAATTTGATGAAAATATTTAGTTTTAGTAGTTTTTAATTAAGGTTGCTAGTGTAAGTGCCCTTGAAACTTGTATTAAATATAGTCATATCGTTTGATAATTTTTCTTGCTTTATTTGTTGCAATACAGCAATATGCTCATATGAAATATTCTTTTTATTTCCCACTTATGTTCTGAAAGAATCAAGATTAATTTCCTCATAGCTTCTCTCTGTAAGCCTTTATTTAAAACTTTAAAGATCAGTAACTCTTAATACTGAATCTCATAAATCTATTTTCCAAAATTGCTTATAAATGGTAATGTTATACTGTAATATAGATGATATGTTTGTAATTATGCATTATGTACAACTTAAAAGTCCAATAATGATTGATTCTTCTTTAATGGCTGTCTATAAATTTTTTATTAAAACTTGATTTTTATTTCTTTTCAGGGAATTCCAGGATTTCCTGGAAACCGAGGTTTAACAGGACAAAAGGTGAATGTTAATGAAAGTTGAATGACTTATGCCTGAAATTACTTTTAAGAGGATAAGGTTGTTGATATCTTCACATAGAATACATTTCTACAAATTTTTGGCCACTGTTAACTGTTTAAATATAATTTCAGATGCTATTATTTTGAACTACAATGTTAATTTTTTGTTTGCTTTATTCAGATAATATTAATTTGGATTTGAATATGTTTTTTGTTTTACTTATTTATTTTTCTATAATGTTCTCTTGGACCTTCATTTGAGATGAATTTGCTACTTCATGAGCTATACCTTTAGAAGTTCCTTTAGTGCAGATGTGATTTTCTCTAAACATGTCGAAATTTTCTTCTACTGTCTCCTGACTTCCATTATTACACACAAAGATTCTGCTCTCACTCTGTCAGAGTGACCTGTTCCTTCCTTTTGGAGTCTTTAAGGGGTTTTGTTTTGTGTGTTATAATTATGATGCATCTAAGCATGTGTTTCTCTTTATACATCCTGAAGGAAATTTTGTTGCTGCCTGGCTTTGTGGGATTATTTAACTATTGGAGCCATCAACCTCTCCCTCCATATTACTGCTGTTCATCCTCTCTATTGTCTCTTACAGATTTCTAATTAGACCTAATTTATTCCTCCTACTTTTGTCTTCTGCATCTTTAAATACTTTCTTATTTTCATATCCACTAGTCTGTGTTAAATTATAGTTAAAAATTTTGGACATATTTTCTAGTGAACCACTACTATCTCTAATCTGTTTAAACAACCAATTGATTTTAAAAATATCTAGACAATCATTTTTCATTTCTGAAAGTTATAATTTTTGATAACACCTTTTTATTATTCACACTCTATTTTCAGCCCTAATAGTCTTTCATAATTCCTTTATTTAATGTGCAAAGATGTCATAAATTTAAAGTTTATTGTTGACATTTTCACTATCTCCAGTTAATATTCCTGTTGATTCTCAGTCTATAGTTTGCAGCCGCCTCTTTCTTTATTATTGATTATGAGCTCATTGCTTCATTTTAATTGGTGGGATTCCTGTCTTCCTAATTGTGGTTTGGAGAACTGTCTCCTGCTGGTAGCTAAAGGTACTGTTTTAGCCCCCTTGAAATGTCACCACTGGTATTAAAGATTCCAGTCCTCTTCCCACAACTGCCCTAATATTAAGTTTACCAAGAAATGAGTGTGCACTCTCAGACACCTACCAGTCTTCTTGACCCCTACTTCGTGAAAGGTTCCTGCACAAATCTTCATTGCCCCAAATCAGAGTATATTTTATTAAAGTAAGAGATCTTTGAAGACCTCCTCTACTATTCATAAAATCAGCACTCTCTCACATAGGCTGCTCCTTCATTTTTTTTTTCCTAAATTCAAAGAATCCTGTGGAGCACCTAGTCAGCCACATTCCTAAAAGTTGCTGTTATTCCATACCATCATTTTTTTCTTTATTATTTTGTGCTTTTAAATTCTGTGGTAATAAAAAGTATATTCTTGATATTTTTTTTCCTGTTGTTTCATCTCTCCAATACTGTGTGAACTGCTAGGTCTTGCTTTTAATAACTAGTAGGGATGAAACCTGACTTCATAATTCAATTTTTGACACACTAAAACCACAGACACAAGTTCCAGGTCTTTAAGGTGTTAGATGCCTGAATTTTTGGTTTTCAGCCATATCTTGTTCCTTTCTTACAATAAAGGGAGAGAAAGTAGAAAAACAGAAAAATTGATACTGAATATTTATTCCATAGTACTTTGATAAGAAATTCCTGGAAATAAATTGATAATTTGTAATTTAATTTTGATCTGTATTTTGTTTTTAGGGAGAAATTGGACCTACAGGACCTATGGGGAAAAAAGGAGCTCCAGGGATACCTGTATGTAAATGTCATTATTATCAAGATGTTTGAGATATTGTTAATGTGTATAAAGAACTCTTATTCTGGAGTTCAAAAAGCTGGAGGGCAAGCAGTACTCAGGTATTTGGGGCCAGAAACTCCATGCATATGTATGAAAAAGAATGTGTTTATTTATGTCCATTTTTCTAGAAGAGTCTACATTTCTTTAAATTCTCAAAAGCTGGCTACCCAAATAAAGATGAAGAACTCTTACCATAGCTAAAATAAAACCAGAAGGCAAATATTCTAGCTATTCACTAATATTTACTAAGTACAAGTCTAAAACTCAATGTTCTTTATAAATTTTAATAAAATTACAAATTTATTACATTAATGATGGAAAATACATTAGAAGACATAGTATGGGAAGATCCCAAACTAGTGAACAAACTATTTTGAAAGTTTTGGCTGTGGAAGGAACATATTAATTTGATATTATGTATTATGAAAATTTTATCTTGCATGTGCAAGATTCTAAGTTACTGCTAGAATTAATAGCATTAATAATAATTAATAGTTAATAATTATTAATAATTAATAGAATTAATACTTTTTTCCTTTAAGTAAAACAGGCCATTTCTTTTCTTTATGGGTTATGACTTTTTGATTTAATTATGTGAGTTAGAAAGAAAACATTTCACTTAGTTCTTTTGTGAAAGATTTGGTTAATTTTGCATGTGAAGTAAGAACTAAATAAGAAAGATATTATCCTTTAACTAGGGATTCAGCTTGTTGGGACATTAAAACAAGATTCTTATCCCTTATAATGAAATACTCTTCATCCACCTCCACCATCACTAAGCATTTTATTTGTTCCTTAGAATAATAAAACAAAACTATTTATCAGTATCTGTTAGCCACCAGAAAATTAAGTTATTGAAATATAATGTCATTTAACTTCAAAAATATCTTTATTTAACATTTCTAACTTTTTATATACTATGCTGTGAACTGGTATATTTTGCATATTATACTTGCCGTAACCTCATAAATGGATAGCAAAATGTAGTAGTGATGACATATTTTCAATATAACTATTTGAGTTTGTTTTCTGATGATTTTAGTTGAATATTTTTTGCACATCACATTTTTGTCATGTTTAAGAGAATGTTTTTGGTATATATTGATATATTAATATATAAGAATATTAATGTTTTTGTTTTATTATACATTAATGTTATATGAAATGGTATTTAACTTAGATTCTAAATTATATCAGATACTTGTTACTGGACCAGTTATTGCCTTATTTTGAATCACCTGTTTAAAAATGTTAAAATGAGATCATCTTGTAACTTGAAGAAAGATTATTAATATATCCAGAGAATTTATTAGATGGTATCTCTTAAAATATTGTTCAAGAAAATAGAAAATGTAAGTAACATTGGCTAAATAACACCTGTGCAGAAACCTAATTCTTAGCCATCATAATGAAAGGAAAAAAGTGAGACTGTCCTAAAAATAAGCTTTTATTTACATTTGTCTTACTAGTTCTACACCAACTTTTACTGTTGTATGTTATTTGAATAACAGAGTATTAAGGGTTCTGCTGTCTTTCATGACATTTTGGGTAGATTGATTCCTTATTTTTCTTTATTGGAATCTGTGTGTGGGGGAAAATTTATCTTTTGTGAATTATTATAAGACTGTATAACTGGGAGATGGATTAAATATTTTTATCATTGTCCTCTAAATGACTCTTGAAATTCTTATTCAAACATATAGGGCTTGATGGGAAGTAATGGTTTGCCAGGTCATCCTGGAATACCAGGACTTAAGGTAAATACAAGGAAATTAATAAGATTGAGAAATTGTTGCAAAATGATCATTTATGTATTTTGTAAATGTTTTAATAGCATTGATTCTATTTTGAATGTGAGCTTTTTTCCCTATGATCAATTACTTTTAAATGTGAAATATGCAAAAACTAAGCACATAAAACAGGCTGAAGTAAGCAGGATTGGCTTAGGCTAGTAAGGGTCTACAATCCCTTACTACTTGATTCTATCTTCCCTTATTGCCACCTCAGTGGACACTGAAGAATATATAATGTTCTGTAGAGTTCAGTGCCAAACCCACCTTACTATGACGTCTGGACATAACTCTCACCAATTTCCCAGTCTTGATATTTTTACTTAATGGAATGTATATGGAATTTTTATTTGTAAATTGCATTGCAGTGAATTTTATTAGATTATTCTTCCCTGAGGACCCAAATAAAATAGCCTATAATCTTTTCCCCAGGTTTCCAAAAAGTAAGGTAAGCTTGACAAATATATTTAGGATGTTAGGTTTATTATTGCCAGGGTGAAACTGAAATTCTTCCATCATGGTTTGCCAGTTTTCTAGATGTATAGAATTCTGTATTGATAAGTATGTTTTTTCTTGGTTTATAGAACATAAAATCAAGTATATTTTGACAAGACTCAAGAATCTAGTTTTTTTTTTAACAAGTAGAGTCTAGGACAACCTTCCAAAAGAAAGTGATGGCATTGCAGATTTAGAAAATGATGGAATTGCAGATTTTGAAGCATTCAACATTTAAACAGACATAATCCCAGTGGGATAGACCCTGGCAAACAAAATGAGTAGATGACCTAATCTACTCTAAAGTATTAAAATTTCTGAAGTATTTAGAAAAAGGTAAAATAACATGTCATAGTAGCTCAACATTTTGGGAAAAGCAGCTGTCCTCTTACCAGAGGGGGACCCTGTGTTTACTGCAGCAGTGGCAGGTCTGCACATTGATATAAAACCCATGAGTCACTGAACTTACCCAGCAGAAATTCCCCATAATTTTTCAAGATATAGAATAGCTTTATGCTCTGTATGGGCTGTGGTGTTGTGGTTGCTTTAACTTTTAAGAAAGCAGCCTAATATTTCACCAGTTTTTTTTTTTTTTTTAAATAACCACTTCCCATTGTTGCCGCACACATAGCTGGTGGGCAATAAAAATCTTTTTTTTTAAAAAAATATTTATTTATTTATACAAGCACTGGGGTATAGGCCAGAGGCGCAGGAGGGTGAGGATTCACCAGAGATAGAGCTGGTAACAGAAAAGATAGACTGATGAAATACACTGCTGAGGGGAGCAGCGGGTGAGACAGGAGAGGTCTGCCTCGCCATGTGTAAATCTCCCTGGCTGGCGGGGAATCTAACCAGTGCTGCCGAGGCAGCAGACAGCTTCACAGCACTGTGCTCAACCCCCTGCGCCATGGGGTAGGCCTGAGGGCAATAAAATCTGCTGGATTTTCCATAAAAGACTTTAGAACAATCTATTTGTGGCAATGACCACTTGGGGAGATTCTGCTAATTTTTTGGAGAAACAAGTAAGCTGTTTCCAGGATCACAGTTTGTTGATTTTTACAGCATTGCTATGAAGTTTGATTCCCTTCCACTTGTACTTATGCACTTATTTTGTTAAAAAGGGATTCAAGATGTTAAAATTATATCTGTTAAATATAATATTTTTGATAAAACATCTCAACCTACTTATATGTAGTATATTAACTCAGCTGTTGTACATTTTTTCCTGCTAAGTAAATAGTATTATTTCAGTCTTTGAAGGCCATATAGTCTCTGCTGCAACTCTTCAAACCTGCTGTTGTATTACTAGAATAGTTATTACTGTCTTGAGTGTCTCACTGACTTGATTCATTCTGGACTTTGCTAAACAATGACTGGGTTGTGATTTTAGGTATCAAGTATATTTGAAAACCTAAAATACCTTTGAAAAACTCTCCTTATTAACCTAGGGGCACTTTTACTTTTTATATATACAGTTCTTTTTTCCTGTCTTAAATTCTTTGTCAACTTGGTCTTATTCTCCAAGTTTCTATCTATTAGGAAGGATTGTGTTGGAATCATAAAAAAGTACATAAAGAGTTTGTGATTTATGTTTCATCAAAAAAGATAATGTTCATCTCAGGCTAATTTTCTTTCCTTCAGCTACATACTACATTAAAGTCATACTGAGAAAGTGAATAGAGCAAAGATAAACATTGTTGACCCCGGGGATACTGTTAAAATGTGTGGTTTCAGCTTGTACATTATGGAGACATAGCTAATCATTGCTGGTTTCTAAGGATCTGACTCTCCTCACTTTTATTTGGGGTTGCCAGCTTTCACAGAGGCTTTCGGAGAGCTTTATAAATGTGTGGAATCATTATCTTGTTCAAGAGTTTTGTATGTATAGGTTCTACATTTCAAGCAATTGGAAAATTGAAAAGCTACAATTAAACAAAATCTTTCTTTAAATGTTTATGTCAGCTATATTGTGACTAATTTTTTAATTTAAAATTTTTAATGCATTAACAGGGAAGTAAAGGTGAACCTGGACATCAAGGGATTCCTGGAGCTTCTGGACTCAAGGTGACTATGATTGGATGCATTTACAAATACGTTCAAAGAATTATAAGTTCCCCTCATTATTTGATGAAATTAACATTTTGTATCACTTAGGAAAGATAACATGAAATTAAAGATTACCTATGTCATAAAAGGAAGGTATGTTAAATAAAATATTCTGGGTGGAATTTCATTTCTGTTTTCTGGATACTTTGTCATAATTTGTAATAAACACACAAAATATGCTTTGCCTTGATTTTCTAGAAATGATAAAAGTTGTATGCTAATATGAACATGTTCTCTGGTTGAGAGAGCAGCATTCTCATTTAACTGAAAACAGAGTATGGCTCCTACAAGCTGTGCTGTCCCTCTGCTGGGACTTTATTTGATTGATGGGACTTTATTTTCAGTGTGTGAATACACAGATGGTTTTACAAGTGTCCTCCAAACCAAGTGGTTGATATTTATTTCCAGTGGGATTTTAAAATATCTTCTAGTTTTTTTTTAAAAGTCTAAGTTAATATTCACCAGCTCCAGGAGGAATCATAGTGAAAACAAAGAGCAAAATTTGGTTTTCACAAAAGAGAGTATCTTTAATTAACATGATAGATTCTTGGACTAATAGTAAAACACAAAACAAAACAAAAATCATGAATATTATGTAAATGTTATGGATACATCATTGCTAAAGGATTTCAGAGAACTTCCTTTTTTCAGACTTTTAAGAAGGTATATTTCAGGGCCTCCCCTGGTGGTGCAGTGGTTGAGCGCTGGGTTGCGAGGCTGCCCGCAGCTTCTGCAGTGCCAGTTTGAGTCCTGGCCGCCGGCAAGGGTCCCACAAAAAAAAAAAAAAAAGGTGTATTTCATAGAGGAAATTATCTTTATGGGATGATAGAGAGTGGAAAAACTGAGACTTGGTAACTCATGGAATATTCCCTGTAATAATACTCCATATATATAAAGGAAAAAACTAAATGTGCATAAAATCTAATTATGTTTACCAGAATATCGCTTATAAAAAATTGTGACAACTGATGTTTAACAGTAAGGATTTACTGAAATATAACAATTCAGTACAATTGAATACTCTTCTGTAATTTAAAATCATATAATAAAAATATGACATATAGACTATCACAAGATTAATACATTTTGAAATGAAAGACAAAAACATTGTAAAATTTTGCATACAAGGTGAGTGTAACCAAGTCGTGTGTATGTATGAGAGGTAGAGAGAAAATTCATAACAATTTAATGTGTGTACTTAGTTTTTAAATAATTTTTTATTCTATTACTTAAAAATTTTGTGATAATAAATTAAGTTCTTTAAAGTGGCAGTATGAGAAAAGGAAGTTTCAAGGAGGAAGAGAAAGTGTTAGTAAACAAGTAAAAAAGAAAGCTGCATTTATTATTTTCATAACTTTTTATTCATTGTTGAAGTTATAAAAACACCAACTACTTACATATTTTCTTAATATTATATACTATCAGAAGTTTTTAATTAGCAAAGATAGGAAAAATAAAAAGCTGTTTGAGGATTCCAGTAAACATTTTATTCTTTATTATTTCTGTAATAACAACCCTGTCTACAATTTATTTTAACCACCAGTTCTTAATTTAAGACACACGTGGAGATAAAAAACAGTGGTGTTTTTCATAACAGCTCTGTGATCTTTATGTAATTTTTCTGTTAACTAGGGAGATAAAGGAGCAATGGGTCCACCTGGAGAACCAGGACACATGGGTTTACCTGGGATTCAAGGAAAAGAGGTATGTATCATTTGGGAGATAGAATCCATTTTTAATCAACTATTAACATGTATTTTTTTCCTTTTGTGACAGTAGCATTGTTGGACTGTTATTACTTTTAATGACAATCCAACTTAAATATTTGATGTGTATGGAATGTATTCGATCTGCCATGTTTATAGCTGTGGCATTTTTCATGTCCCTGCATGTGTATTGTCTTCTAGATGAAGACTTTGGAAAGAGGGCATGCAGATCAGAAAATATAGACATGCAATTAAGCAATATTCTGTAAATTCAGATTGTTTTTCAGTCACTCCATGTGAGTCATAAATTTTTTAGGAAAAGTATTCAGTGTCTAGCATTCTTAGCAAAATACCACTCTTACCTAAACTTGGGTAGAAGTCTAAAAGGATAGAAGTTAGGCCCAAAATGTTTGATAATGAGATTCCTATCTATGAAACAGTTGCAACACAAAGCAGTTCATTTAAAATTAATTAAAGGGGCCTCCCTGGTGGTGCAGAGGTTTGAGAGCCAGCCGCACTGTGAAGCTGTCTGCAGCCTCTGCAGCGCCAGTTCAATCCTGGCTGGCCGGCAAGAATCCCAGATGGCTAGCAGACCTCTCCTGTCTAGCCTGCTGCTCCCCTCAGCAGTGTATTTCATCAGTCTGCCTGTTTTGTTCCCCTCTCTGTCTCTGGTAAATCCTTTTACCCTCCCACACATCTGGCCTGTACCCTTGTTCTTGTATAAAAATAAATAAATCTTTTAAAAAAATAAACTTAATTTAAGGAGCTTAAAACACAAATATTATATACATATATACAGGTTTTACTATCCAAAAGTAGCTACATTCCTATTTAATATGATTTGGTAGGTAGGTTTTGGGGTCTGGGAACACTGTTGAAACAAATTCTTTCTTTTTTTTTTTTATAATAGGGTTGAAGCCATTTTTTTTTTTTTTAAGATTTATTTATTTATTTATACAAGCACTGGGTACAGTCAGAAGCATGGGAGGGTGAGAGAATTCACCAGAGCCAGAGCAGAGAACAGAACAGGCAGACTGACGAAATACACTGCTGAGGGGAGCGGTGGGCATGGCAGGAGAGGACTGCGTACCATGTGGGACCCTCGCCCAGCGGCTGGGGATCGAACTGGCGCTGCAGAGGCTGCGGGCAGCTTCGCAACCCAGCGCTCAACCTCTGCGCCACCGGGGAGGCCCTGTTGAAACAAATTCTATGGAAAAGATTTTTAGTGTTCTCAGACCTAAAAACTAACCTACCAAATCATCATATCAACTAGGAAAGGTCTGCTTTTGGATAGCAGGGGAAACCTGTAAAATGTTTTTGGTGAGGAAAGTAGCAGAACAGCTTTAGGTTTCTCTCTCTCTCCCTCCCCCTCCCTCCCTCCTCTTCCCTCTCTCCCTCCCTTTCCCCTCTCCCCTTCTTCTTCCCTCTTTCTCTTTCTCAATGAAGAAAACCCAATTGTATCTATATATTATTATTATTTATTTGGAGATTTTAAGCGACAACTGACCATTTATTACAAAAATCCATGCCATTGTAAAAATATAATTTCATGTTAGAAATAAATATACTGTCTTATGTTGGAAAACATATCTTCTTCATATCCCTGCTCTTTCAGCTTTTCCTCTATTTCTTTTTGTATCCCTTGTGTATTATCCACTTGACCCCTGGATTATGATGTCCAGGATGATTTTTGACCCTTTGTGTCATGAGCAGTAGACAGCACTTGCCAGACTGGGATCAACCTCAGCAGCAATTAGGTGTGAAACCCTTAGTGAATATTAAGTGTATCTACTGTGACTATATGCTTGGATTTAGAGAATTTTCCTGTTTAAAAAAATTGCCATTTGAATGAACATCTGTATTTTGTTTGCTGTAACACAAAACTCTACTCTGTTTAAATTGCATGATGAGGTAGAAATGAAATATAAGAACAGTGTATTTCAAATTTTGGAAGTTAAATTTTGGACAAGCCTTTCAGTTCCTGATCTGCAGGTTCAGTGTTTAGAAGGACAAGGACATTGAAATAAGTTGGGCTGTCATGTCTCTTTTGGCTGAGAAATTCTTTAAAATGCATTACTATGGAATATAAATTTCCCCTCATATGTTCATTTTTGAAGCATATGTTTTCTAAAATATCATTTCAACATTTGGTTTTACTTCATAATTTCCTATAAATTTCTGGTTGCTGTTAGTTTAATAGAAGATTTTCAGTTTCATTTCATAAATGTCAAATCCTCTCTTATTTGTGTGCTTATCTTCATATTGTGTTAAATACAGACAAAATTTATTCTTGGTGAAATAGCTGTAGTAAATTTTCTTTCAAATGGAAGAACACAAGAAAGTGTTCATTGAAAACATCATTTCACCATAATGTGGTTTTATTCTTTCACCAAATATTGTGTGGGTGTCAGCTTCTTTATATAGGCCACTTGTGGAATTTATATAAGACCATGTATTTTTCTTTGTTGAAGAAAAAAGATATTTATTTGAAAAGATACCGAATATACCAAATTATAATAAGTGCTAAACTGCTTCTTTTGTAGGGGGACAAAGGAAGTCAAGGAGAAAAAGGCATTCAGGTATGCTGCTGGTTTGTTGGGGGATGCCAGTCACTAAAATCAGAGCTTTGTTTTTTGAAATTCTTACACTGATTTCCAGCTCCTTCCTGTTTTAGCATTAATAGCTAATGGTTATATCCCAGCCTTTTTGCTGCTAATCTTCTTAGATAACATCAAATCTAAAGCTAAGATTCTTTACCACGTTACTGTTAAACTTGGAAATCAAGTGATTCAACAAAATTAAATATAGATTTTATTATGTGATTCTAATATGTATTTCTTTGCATATTTCTAATGTGAATGTTTCAAATAATGATCTAAAATGGCTTAGGGCACAAATTAATTTTATGAGAACCACTAACACCCAATATAAACATATTCAATGGAAGGAGAATTATGGCAGGAAATTATATCAGCCTGAGGAAATCTAGAGTGATTTAGAAGGACATTTGGTTTTGGATGTCTTAGGAACAAAGGCAAGGCAAAGAACCAAGGTGCTACCTTGGGAGATAATTTCACTTTAGTTTAAATGGTTGTGGAATTTTTGTTGTTCACTAACACTTATGAAGAGGATACCACTAATTGAATCAATAGTATACTTATCTGGAATAAATTTTATCTGTGGTCTTTTCATCTTTTAAGTATTAGAAACATAAGGCTTTTAAAATCATAGATTCACTGATATAATGCCCAGACGTTTCTTTAATGATATTTTCAAGATTGCAATCTTGGTTTTAGGTAATGTGTTGACATAGATCTGAAGAGGTGTGACCCTCTATGTCTGAATCACATACATTGCTATAAACCATTACTATCTCAGTAATAAATAGCACTGCAAAATTCTGTTATAGTATCTGAGTTTTGCTATGTAAAATAAGCTTAAAGTAATCAAAAAATACTTTGCAGAATTTCACAGAATTTTGAAAGTTCTAGAATTTCTGTAGGTGGAAAAGGGAATTTCATATTGAAGTAATACTGAAATCAAAATCTGCTAATGTCATCATCTCACCAATTTTTTTGTTACTGTCATTTTTTGTAAAGCTCTGTTAATTGAAGCAATGTTGATTTATATCATAATATATATCTTAGGGCTATAGGGTTACACTTCTGCAAATGTATGTTATTGTACCACACCCACCACCAAAGCACCAGTAATCTGCCATTGGACCTTACAACCCCCACCCCACCACATCCCCCTTCTAGTAGCCTTATCCATAGTCTAATGTGTTCTCCTGCTTTTACCCCTTCCTCTGTTCATCCTCTTCCCCTTTCTCATGTCTCAGATTTATGGTTAGCTTTCAAGATTTGTCTTTGACCTTTTGTTTGTTTTCTCTATATTCCACATATAAGTGAAAACATCCATTATTTATCTTTCTCCTTCTGACTTATTTCACTTAGCATAATCCCTTCCAGCTCCACTCATGTCACCACAAATGTAATGAGTTCATCTCTTTTGATTTCTGAATAGTATTTGATTGTGTATATACACCTCATGGAAGATATTCAAATATTATTCCTTTAAGTTAATATTGAAATTATAAGTGAAGTAAATTTTAAGTAAGTAGTGAGCTCTTTGTCTGTATATACCAATTTCCTTCTTGGTATTGCTTCTGGATGTCTCAAGTGCACCTCCCCAACTCATAGATTCTCTGAGTATACCACCAGTCACACCAAAAAAAAAAAAAATCATGGATTTCATAGAACTCAGTCTCCATTCCCTTCACATCTAAATGTTTATTGAACTGGGTTCCTTCTCCCTATCCCCACAAAGCTAATAATTTATTATCGTGGGTCCTTGGTTACTCTATCTCTTAACTGGTGTTCTGGAGTCTGGTCTTTTCCCTTCTTCCACACTTTACCAGCATGCAAGATCTAAGATACATCAGTTTAGGAACCTTCAATGGAGCCCCACACATGTCAAAACAGAGTGTATTGTTTTAAGTGCCCCCTGATTTGACTGAATCTTCTTTTGTCTCATCTTTTACCATTTCATCCTCTAATTTCCACTCCTTCCCCATTGCTGTAACCAAAAAGAATTACCTACCTTTGTCCTGTGTTTGCTCTCCCCAGTACACCCTCCAATCTTTTCTCTACTATCTACCTCTCACTCAACTCATCCTCGTGTCTTCACTCAGGGTGAAGAGCTTTTCTCTACCCTCCTTAGATGTCCCTGGCTATGTTCCAATACTCTCCAACCCAGATATTAAATTGTACATTGTACAACTATCATACATTGTTTTCATCATTCCTGGTTTAATTACTTATCTTTTCCACCACACAGTAAGCAACTTGAAGGGAACAATGATATTTTTGTTTATGTCTCAAATGTTCCATTAAGTACATATCATTTAATAAATATTTGGAATTCACTTGGTTAAGGAAATAAGTAAAACCACTATTCAAGAGCAATTTAAAATTTTAGCCACTAAATTGTGAATTGATTAAATTATTTGGACATTATTTTCCTAGAAAATCCTAATTATCTTTTATGACGTTGGGATGAAGTAGTTCTAATATAATAGCTTATGTATGAGGGATATCCAAATATACTTCTTGAGTGAACAAATGTGTATATCATTATTAATTTTTTTTGCCTATTTGTGCTCATTTAAGGATCTCTGTTCAAAATATCTTTACAGCATGCTTTTAATAGTGAAAAATGTCTTTAGAGACATATTCTTGTCCTCATATATCAAGACTGAATATAATGATGTCATTGAAATTAATAAAATGTCCACAGCTGCTGGATTTTAAATTATTTTCATGCTGGTAATGTGGATTCAGTAGAATATCCTCAGCTACCTAAAATAATTTACAAGTTCCTCAGAGTCAGTACTCTATCCCTCATCTGTATCCGTTTTGACTCTAAGATTCCGTTGCTTTTCATCTTGCTTTATTTTCTGAGAAAGACTGCTGTCCTATCGCTTACATGATTGACATTTTTTATAGACAAAAGGATACTATTTTGTATTTATATGTAATTGCATCATGTACAAACTAATTATATTTATTAATTTTTAAAGGGTCAGAAGGGAGAAAATGGAAGACAAGGGATTCCCGGACAGCAGGTATTTCTTTTTTCTTTGACAGAAAGTAAAATAATGAATCATGTAACTGGACATTGCTGAGATAAGGTTACCTGTTAAAAAAGAATGGGCATGGGGAAGGACTGATCTAATCTGCATTCTAAGCACATGAGTTGAAAATACTAAGTAGAGGCGGTGATAATGGTTTACTTTAATTGTGTTGTATTTTCATTTCTTTATGTTGATGCTGTTGTTGCCTTCGAAACTTGCTTTTCAGTACTTTTTCTGACCAAGTGATGACTGATGGTAGATAATTCCACACATATCTTGGAGGAATTATTGACCAAAGTCTCTCATACAAGGGCAGTCTTTCCATAACTATTGTTTAGTTTTGATTCCCTTTTTTTTTGTAATTTTCTTATAATGTTGTTCATTTTTGTACAGTTTCTCCCCTCAAGTGTAAACCCCATATTTTCCCACCACCACATCACCCATGAACTATCACCAATATTCCCTTTTGCTCTTCTCTCCCCCTTTTTTGCCAGCTCTTTCCACTCCCTTGCTTGTATGCCTCAGATCTATTGTCAGCTTGCTAGTAGTTTTGATTTTCTTCTTGAAATGTTACTAGTTGAGGCCTTATGTAGTAGAGGAATATACTTATTTACCTCTAGTTTATTCAGAGATATAATTTACTATACTAAAGACCTAATAAATACTGTCTTGAGGGACTGCTTTGTTTCTTCCCTGACCAAACTCTCCTTGTTGTAGTGTTTTAGTGAGATTGACATGTGCATGTAAAGTCTGTCAAAACCAAATTGAACCTGAGATATATGTATGTGTATCTATATCTGTATCTATATCTATCTATATATAAAAGTAATTTGTATTTACATAGTATGTTTTCTACTGCACTCTGTAATTCAGTGTTGAACTCACTCCAACTTGCTCTGCACTGAAAGAGAAGCTACATGTGAGTTCTGTCCCAGAGGTGCCCATTTCAAGCGTGGTAGAGAGAAAAATTCAGTAAAATATATGGGCTCTGAAGGAAGATGGGGGGATTACACTGTGTAATGTTATCTCCAATGATGGGGTCTCTCTGTCCCTCACTTGGAGGAAACTGAGAGACCTAAGGAAGAGTGTTTGAAATCACAATGTCCCAATGTTGTCTGTAACACAGAGTAGAAGGTGAGTCTCAAATATTAAGATATTGAGAATTAGAAGCTAGCAATAAAAGCAAAAGAAATTGAGAGAAGACATGGTTTGAGTTTCCCTGCATACAATTATGTTCAATAAAAAAAAATCTTTTAATTATAGCATTCCTCCACTCAACTCAAACCCACTGGATGACACAATGAACTCTGTTCCCACTTCCCTCCTTGGCGACATAGACTGGCCCCCTTCATTTGCCTAGGTTAATCACACTATATCTATAAACAACAGTTCTCATAAAAGATCTTCACCCCTTCATCCATTCAACCTCCACAACCCAGGCCTTTCACCAAAAATTGTTATTTACAATAACTCTCTGAAAAAAGGATGTTCCCTTTGGAATCTGAGCTCACAACTGAGCTAGCTTACTAGCTTACAGATGACACTCTCTCCAAGGTTCCCTTAACTTGTTTTTCTCTCACATCTCAAGGAAAATAACAAGTCAGCTCCCCTGAGGCAGATTTGGGTTCCCTAGAAAGCTTTTGCTCTGGATTTTTTGGAAGCCACATTTCCCACCACCAGGAACTGAGCCTGTGGAGGACCCAGGGGCCAGAGCAGCTGTTGCTTTTCAGCAGCTGAAGAGCCATCCCAAGCTCTCTAAGTAAACAAAATCTTAGTTACCTGTCATCCTAAGTGCTGCACGTGTTTAATTTTCCATCTTCGTGTTGTGGATGGAGTCCAAGTAAAAGATTTTCTCGAAAAATCGTCTCAGTGGATTCTCAGATGACAGCTGTTTTTAGCTTCAGGTCTAATTCAGTTTTATTCACTGTTTTATCTTTTCCTCTTTCATTGCCTCCAGTTGCAGGAATATGTCTGCTAAGGATCACCCTGCATTTCTTGAGAAACAAACCACATTCTGACCTTACAGAATGTTTAACTCACTAGTAGATTTTCATATGAAAACTAAGAATTAATATGCTCACATTTTGAGATGTGCCACACATTGGTTTTACCTAACTTTTATTTCCTTTCTTCTAATTAGGGTATTCATCTTTAAGGAAACCAGAAATAAATCAAAATAAATACTCCAACATCATTGTATGAAGCATTTACTCTAAATTTCATAATGAGTCACAGAATGCTGATTTCTAATTTTAAAGTTGAATAATAAATTCCTACCTGTATGTGTGAAATTTGTATGCATGTTCCTGGAACTATATTTTGGAAACTGAGTGCACATGAATTTCAAAAGTGGAATATTTTAATGCTTTTCCTTCAAGTTCCTATCATCTATAATATATATATCATTAGAATCAGTATGTGAAAGAGATAAGTGAGAAATTAACAGAAGCTTCCATTTGTATCCAGTGATTGCCTGGTGTTTATATCACTGTGCAAGAATGTCACAGTGGACATCACACTGCTTCTCTAATCTCTGAATTACCAGCAGCAAGTGATTTAGACATATGATAACTAGTATTTTCTCTCCTAATAATCAACTTTAATGATATCTTTGCTTTACCTTATCTTTTTTCTATAATACTCAATCAAAATTTAATTTTCAGAACATGAACTTAGGAAACAGAACATTCATCATAATTACAGAAGAAGACAATAAGTATATTATGTCTACCTGATTTGAGGTTTAATTTTCATTAAAATAGTAATATATTTCAAATTCAGAAGAGAATTTAAATAGAATTCAGATAGAATGCCAAACTAAACTACATATTTGAGCCACATCATTTGTAAATAGTTGTGTCTAAGAAAGAAGCAGTTGTGTAAATTAATAATTTACTGTTATCAATTTATTACTCTTTTAAAAATGTGGGGGGTGTCTTACATATTACTTTGTCACTACTACTATCAATATTTTCCAAACAAAGTAAAAGTTTGAGTAAAGATGTGGTAATAGGTACATATCACATAACTAATACAGTAGCTTTCGCATTTATTACAGTTTTTTTTCCTATTAACTTTTAAAGGGAATTCAAGGCCATCATGGTGCAAAAGGAGAGGTATGTTTCTTCCTGATTATACTGTCTTTGTTCAGTCTTTATTGTCTGAATGTCCTGTGCTATATAAATCTAACTATTGGCGTCCCAAACAGAAAATATCTTGCATGTTCTTCAGTAGTTTTTTAATAATGATTTTCAGAATGTGTAGGTTCATTAAATTGGGTATGAAATGTTATGTATTTGCCAATATTATTGGTTCACCTAGATTGGGAGTTCAGTTTTTCTGCTTATTTTTCAGTAAGAATATTTTGTGTCTCCTCATTTGTCTGTTTCTCTAAAATTTAAGGACTTGGGAAGAGGACTTTGTCACAGGCATTGCATTGCATGCTTTGTGCATACTGCCTATACAGTATCCTTGTAGATCAAATGGATAGTCAAATGGATACGTGTAGTTTGATAGGAAATTTTCCTCCCAGTCAATACCAATACTTCCAGCTGCAACCTATATTGCATACATATATGATGTAATTATAGCTCTTGAATTTTTGATAGAATTTTTAATTTTTTTTTTTGTTTGTTTTTAGAGAGGTGAAAAGGGAGAGCCTGGTGTTAGAGGTGCCACTGGACCTAAAGGAGAATCTGGGGTGAATGGTCTGATGGGGCCCATGGGTCCCCAGGGGCAACCTGGGGAAACAGGTCCTCAGGGACCTCCAGGATTGGATGGGAAACCTGTACGTAATCTTATTCTTTTATAGTTTTCATTGTTTTTGCTTGTTATATACATGTTATAACCCCTAATAATTTGATGCAGGGAAGAGAATTTTCAGAACAGTTTATTCGACAAGTTTGCACTGATGTATTAAGAGGTAAGTCTCACGAGCTTTTAATTTTTTTTTAATTACAAAAGTAATACAATTTTTGGTAGAAATTATTGACCATATAAGTAAGATAAAGTAGAAAATGTTTATGGACTCATGTTTTCTTTTTTCCTACATGAGTATTTTTGTAGCAATAAAATATAAATAAAATGAAAATCTCATACTCTTGTAATATTGTAACAAACACTTTATCATTATTTTCCTTTTCTAATGTAAATCTCATAACTTAAAAAAAATATGGTTTTCCATATTTTACTTTGTCAATTTCTTTTATGGGAGAACTTTTATCCCCCATGCCTATATTAAAGCAATTTTAAAAATAAAATTATTTCGGGCCTCCCCGGTGGCGCAGCGGTTGAGCCCTGGGTTGCGAAGTTGCCTGCAGCCTCTACAGCGCCGGTTCAATCCCCGGCTGCTCCCAGGCCACCGGAGGAGGGTCCCACATGGCGCGCAGACCTCTCCTGCCACCCGCTGCTCCCCTCAGCAATGTACTTGGGTCCTTCTGCCTGCTCTGTTCCCTGCTCTGGCTCTGGTGAATTCTCTCACCCTCCCCCGCTTCTGACTGTACCCAGTGCATGTATAAATAAATAAATCTTAAAAAAAAAAGAAATTTAAAAAAATAATAAAATAAAATAATTTCACAGTATGTTGACCATTTCTGTATATACGCACCTAGAAGTGAAATTGTTGGCCATGAGATAAACACTGTAAACTTAAACAAGATTGTTAGAGGTCTTAGAAACTCCCACTTACTATTTAAACATAAGGTGTGGGATTTCTTTGTTTCAAAGCCCAGTTGCCAGTCTTACTTCAGAGTGGAAGAATTCAAAATTGTGATCATTGCCAGTCCCAACATGGTTCCCCTGGTATTCCGGGGCCACCGGGTCCGATAGGGCCAGAAGGGCCCCGAGGATTTCCTGGTTTGCCTGGGAGAGATGGTGTTCCTGGATTGATGGGTGCTCCCGGACGCCCAGGTGCCAGAGGATTAAAAGGTACATAATATGAATGCATAAGCAAATGAACAACAAAAAGGTATTCTTTACATTTACAATTTAAATACATCTAATAGGCAAGAGTTCATCTTTGTTTTCATGACAGGACATTTTTGTAAATCCCTTTTGTAAATTTTTATATAATTTGTAACTGTGTGAAAGAGCAAATACTACATCTTGAGCAATATTCATTTCAAGTATAAAGAGAGGGAGCATGTAAAGTTACAAATTAGAAAATGTTCACAATGTACTTAGAAATGTTGCATGTGTCTAATAAAATCTTTACATAGAAGTTCACATGCTACAATTCCTTAATTGTACAATTCACAAACTACAATTGGTATTAACTCTTTGTTACTTTATTCAAACATTTTTATAGGAAAATTATGTTTTATGATCAAATTTCCTAATAGTTCACAACTTCTCTTTGCTTTTAAATGTTTATGTGAATTGTTGGTTGACACTTCTATTCTTACTAATATTTATTACATGAACAATTTAGGTGTTTCATCAAAGTAATAAAAGAGCAACTAGAATTAACAAAAAAGAGCTAATAATTCTAAGCATTTTTTTCTTAATATTTAAGCCCCATTAAATCTAGACCACTGATAATTTTATAATTTTTTGCCTGAAAACCCCTGTTTTCCATTGGTAATAATAAACACATGATAAGGTATGTTTAAAAGATTCAATTTTCTTTCAATATGTATATTATACTGGTTTTGAAACAATGTAAGAGACAGTAGTTTTATAGGCAAAGTAAGCTCACTTCCATCTCTGACAATCTGTAGGCCTACCAGGAAGAAACGGGGCAAAGGGGAGTCAAGGATTTGGGTATCCTGGAGATCAAGGTCCTCCTGGTCCCCCAGGTATGATTTGGTTTATGCACTAAGTGTTGTTGCACATTTTACTTTAGGTAGATCACTATAAATCTATGTCAAATAATGCAAAAATAAGACATGCGCTTTTGGTTTTTTTAGAGATTCATATTTAATGCATTGAGTTCTAACCTACTAGAATTTTAAAATATATTTTCTTATCTTATATTCAGGAATCATGCTGGATTCTCTTATCATTTAGAGTCTAACATCTACTCCTTAGAATTGTTCTTAAATGTTTTGTCACCCATGCTTGTCTAGTGTATATCACTGTTTCATCTTTATGACTCTCAGGGAAGCAGAATGAGGAATGCTGAAGTAGACTAGGCTTTTTATCTTAGCCATTCCTCACTTTCTGCATTTATAATATGGTCATATGTTAACCACATCATGACATTATTACAAGATTAAATGAGCTAATTTAATCTTTTATGTGTTTTCAGAATAATGCATGATAATGAATTATGTTTTTAATAAATGTGTGCTATTATTTTAGGTGTTATTGCCTCCTGAGGCTTTTGAATGAATAAAATGATTTAACACTATTTATGCAAAACCTTCAGAGCAATGCTTAAATTTCTTGTCAAGTTTAAATAAATGTTTACTACTAACTAAACACAGTTATAGTAAGAACTGATAGTAGTAAGAAGTGCTATAAACCACTGTACTCCACTGCCAAATATGAATTTTGTTTTATTATTTTGAGCCATCAACATTAAAAGGCCAAATCCTAAGTTAATTCTCCTTTCTTTTAAACATGCCAGTTGAATTAATCAGGCTATTTTTGACAAATTAGTTTTAAATAACATTTGTGTGTATTCATCATAATGACCCTGTGACAATATATTTAGCTATTGAAAATAAATTACTGTGTGCAAGATGTAAGTAGTCATTTTTATTGCAAATGCAGCACAGAAGTGACTTGGAGCTTTAGTTTAATAGTCCATTTGCTAATTTATAATGATAATTGCCAAAAGATAGAAACTTGATGAAATAAGTTGGATAACCCACAAATTGAAATATTAGAATTTAGCATGATGTTTTAATCAGTGTCATGTTTACTATAGTAAAATAACTTTGGCTACTTTCATAGAAATTAATGATTTGGGGAAATTTTTTTCAAAATGGAAGGTATAGATACTAAATGAGAGAATACCTCTTCCTTTTATGGGTAGACATAGATACAATTTTCTGGAATTTTTTTTTTCTTCAGTATGAGCTCCTTACAGAGTCAGCTATATCACCTTCGAATACGAAACCCCACTGCTTATACATTGCTAATGTTCCTTCTTAGGTCCAGAGGGTCCTCCTGGAGTAAGCAAGGAAGGCCCCCGAGGAGACCCCGGTCCCCCTGGCAAAGATGGAGATCATGGAAAAGCTGGAATCCAAGGGCAACCAGGCCCTCCTGGCATCTGTGATCCATCACTGTGTTTTAGTGTAATTGTTGGAAGAGATCCATTTAGAAAAGGACCAAACTATTAGTGTCTGATGCCTCATTCAGCAACCTGGGCGTGGTGCTTTTCTCTGTGGTCTTTTGCATCTCAGGAAGATAACCCACAGTAATCCCTTGAAAAAAAGACTAATGTACCTCGGTGTTTTTATTATTATTATTTCCTTAAGGAAAAATATATAAAAAGTCTCATGTACTGATTTTAAAGTCTCCACAGTAATTTGGAGCCTTCAAATTAGTAGCATTAAATTGCAAGGGTTTCTTGAAAGTCTATTTGCTTTGGTCAAAGCTGAATATTAAAAAACAAACAAAACACCATTGCCTATTAGCCAGTCCATTTTAGTCACTGTGAAATATTTCACATTCATTCTTCCATGAATCCTTCATAGAGTATTTGAGTTCACTCTTGCGTCTGTGTGTATTTCATGTTTTATATCTCATAGCTCATGCTTCTACATTAGCCAAAACATAAATGTGGTCATTGGAAATAAGGTCAGGGCTGATATTCAGCAGGGACAGGTCGTATTGCCACACTCGTCAATCATCTGGTGTCTGTGCTTACTGGATATGGGCATTGGACTGCTGGCTGGTCAGTGTTTTGAATATCACCTGTGAATAAGATCCATATGTTTCTTATTTCATTGTAAGTTCTCAAATTTGTTCAGTGATTATACTAAGACAGTGTGTTGATTATGATGGGAATGGCCAAAATTACATAACATTAAAAACATTTCGAACAAGAAATATTTTGCAACACATGGTCAATATGTTTAAGGAAAAATGCCTGTTCAGAGATTCTAAAAGGATTTGGCTCTTCAAGCTTACTGAGGAATTAGAATGTTATATGACTCTATTTTCCATTTCACTTACATGTGTATGTTTGTATATGTTAACTTTGGTTGTAACAAAGCTAAAGGGAATAAATACTCCATTTGAAAGGAAAGATAACTCTCCAAAGATCCTAGTATGTCTTGATGTTCTTTTTAACAATCTTTGAAATATTCTGAACAGCCTTGGTGCTTTTTGCAAGGAACGTTAATTTGAGATATTTCACTTTTATCATGTTCTAAATTTTGTTACATGCTTGTTACTCAAAGTACAATAAAGTTTTGTACAGAAATGATTGCATGGTCTTTTCTTATACTTAATTTTATTTGATTGTTGAGTACATTATCCATATTACATCGTCACTTATTCAATGGATATAATTTATTAGATGATTTATCCTATTCTCAAGTAACTGCTTCATCTGAAATAAGAACTTAGAAATTCAGTTAGTAAGATACTCACCTAAGCAGAGGAAACTCCTGCTTTCTCATCCAGGAATGACTGTTGGCCAGTGTTTCGCTTTACTGACATGTCATCCTACCACTTTGATGAGGACTTTGGAAGAGACTGAAATCCCATGAACTGGATTAACATCGCCCTTTTTTTTGAGGTTCTGTCTCCAACCAAGCTCCAGGTATCTTCTTAGGCCTAACTATCCTACTACCTCTATGAATTATGGCATTTGCTGTTAAGACCCAGTAAAGGAGCAGTTAGGGAGTTGATATTTTTTCTTTCAATCAGCCAGCATTGACCAGATGACCAGTTAAGTTTGAGGTAGTGTGCTAGAGATACTAGGACAGTATAGTTAGAGTTTGACCTGCGGGAACTTCTGTCTAATGAAGCACAGGTAAATAAATAAGTGATTCTAATACATTTAATCTGAGAAATGAGAAAATGTTACAAATATGTAATAGAGTGTTATGGACTGAACTATATCCATCTCAAATTCACCTGCTGAAACCCTACCCCTGCTTGATCATATTTAAAGATAGGGTACCTATAGGAGGTCATCAGGAATAAATGAGGTCATAGGAAAAGGTCCTAATCCCATAGGATTGGTGATCTTATCAGTGGAAAAGAGAATTTATCTCTACAGGCATTCAGGATAGGCTACATGTGACGGCACAGTGATAAGGTGACCATCTTCTATAAGCAGGGGAGAGTATCCACCCTGGTCTTGATACTCCAGCCTCTAGAACTATGAGAAGATAAATGTCTGCTGTTTAGAACACCCAGTTTAGGATCCTTTGTTATGGCAGACCAGATTACTATTACAGATGAGAATAGAGTCCCTAAAGCAAAGATTATAAACTGATTTTAAAGACTAGAAGCCCTTAGTATAACCAAGTCAAGTCAGATAATGAAAATGAACAAAGGCTGGAGCTTTAAAAAAACCTGGAAAGTTCTAAGAACACCAAAACCTATAGCATATAAATTCTATATATATCCAATATCCCTGCTTTTAAAATTGGCATCTCAAGTTGTTGTTATATTTCTGTAATTTATCATGGTTTTATATATATATATATATATATATATATGTTATGTCCTAATATATTTCTGCATTTCTGCATTGGGCAAATTTAAGACTAACCTAGGATGTGCTGATTTTTACGAAGGATTAGGTGAATGGATTTTTCCTACAAGTATATTTTATACCATAGTGAACATCAGCACCATGTTAAACTAAGGCCTATTCATGTAGTAGGACAATTTAGGGGAAAAAATCAACAAATTCTTGGGGTCTATCGGCTTGGGATATTTTACCTATATTTTTATTTTATTAACTGTATTTATTTTATGAACTACATTTTATCTCTGGTTCTTAGAAGTTTACCAAGTAATTATTTAGTTTTCCTTATAAGGAGTTTCTTAGTTGGGGAACTGCAAATGGATTCTTAGCTCCCTATACACACCTATACATAGGTTTATACTACACATAAATACATATACTCTTCTTAGACAATATCATTACATATATTTATATAGAGTTAGATACTTAACCTGAACATTTCTCGGATTTGTAAGTACAATTTTATTTATAGCCTTCAATTTTATTCCAAAGAAGAAAAAATACATTTTTTTTTTAAATTGAACACTTAAAGAAGTGAATGAAGCCACCTATAATCTTACACTTTGTCTATTTGCTTTTCGTTTGTATGGTTCAGTTTGTCTAATTAAAGTGCTTTGTTTAGGGGCTTCATAAAGTTCTCCAGGTTGATATCTTTGTTGTCAAAGGAGAGGTTGAAGTTCACTCTTGCTATACCTCAGTTACAGATTCAGCCCATTGTACTGTGTTGTGAGTGGGGAAGGCAGAAACTGCTTATCATTAGCTAGAGTTTACAGTGAATTAGGAAAACCTCACATCCTATAATCCTGGTTCTGTAGATTGCATAAAAGGTCAACAAAGAGAATTACAGCTCTGTGGCTAAAGCATTGAGAGTCTAGTCTCTGAGGGCTGTGAGTCATAATTGGGAGCAAAAAAGAAAACTTAAGAGTCTTTATGTAGTTTTAAGGGAAAATACCAGAAATAAAGCCATATGTTAGTTAAATCCAGCTGCAAAGATTTTGCTGGAATGCTTTCACAAAACTTCATCTTAAATATGATATAGAAAATTTTTTTTGCCTCAAATAACACATTTGAAATAACATTGCCTCTCCTATTCATTAATTATTTCTGGGTTCTGCCTTCCTCAAAGTAAGTTCTCATTGGCTAATTTTGAATAAATGGATAAATTTTAAAAGTCTTAAACTAGCAGTTGAAAATGACAATTTGAAATAGCTGGGCAAAGTATTCATTCTAAGAGATTGAGAAAAAACAAGTGTTTTTCAATCACATCCCCAGTTCAGTTGCCTTTTTCAGATAGTATCACACTTGGAAGGTGTCTCTAGCTCCAACAGAGTAAAATTCATATTGAAATTTGGAAATAAATCATTTGACACATACTGAAGGCAAAGAGAGTTCTGAGACATGTGACTTAGGATCAATCTGGTAACTTACCAAAGTTCGTTTTCCCATCTCTAAAACAAAGAGTTTAAGTTACTGTGGTTTCTAACCTAGAATGTTCATTAGAATCATCTAGGGACCTTGCTTAGTCCACCGGAGATTCTGGTGTAATTGGTTTGCCAAAAAGTCAGAGAAAATAGTTGCATAAAGGTCTTGAGCAAGAGCATACAGCTCAATGGAAGTAAAAGTAATTCTATATTTTTTTGGTTTTAGAGAGCTGGTGCTGGATAGTGGCAAAAGATAAGGGAAGAGATGCTGGGAGTGGAAAGAGAAATGGAAGAGGGAAGGAGGAGACATCAAAGAAAATTGCTTAAAAGGTTTTTAAGGAGGAAATAGCATGAAGAGATTTGCATTGTGGCTAGATCACTCCAACAGCAGTGATAATAGATGAAATCAGGTAAGATTGGAGGTAAAAAATGAAGTACCTGCATAATAATAAATACAGGTCTCCCCTGCATTTTGAGTTTGTTATGTCACTTTGCTTTTATGAAAGACCTACATTGTACCAGTTATTGCTAACCAAAAGAAATTTGAAGAGAATATTTACTTTTACGACAAAAGTCAGAAAGCAAAATCGGGGCCTCCCTGGTGGCACAAGGGTTTAAGAAGCAACCTATGAAGCTGTCCACAGTCACTGCAGCATGAGTTTGATCCCCAGCCAGCCAGGGAGCAACCCACATGGTGTGGCAGACCTCCCCTGTTTTGACTGCTGCTCCCCTCAGCAGTGTATTTCAGTACATCTGCCTATTCTGCTTCCCACTCTATCTCTGGTGAATCCTCTCACCCCCTCCCCCGCCACTTCTGGCTTATATCCCAGTTCTTATATGCACAAATCTTTAAAAAAAAGAAAAGCAAAAATGTTTTCAGCATTTGTTTCGCCCTTGTCATTACAGAGGCCACAGCTGCCTCAGGGAGCATGACCCCACCAAGATGCTTCTCTGGGAATCACTTTATACCAGATGTGTATTTATCACATCACTCATTTTTAATGTGTTAGTGTTATTTTAGGTCTTATATATTTTACAGTATGATTTGGTGGGTTGTTTTTTGGATCAAATATTGCCCTTATTTATCTCTTCCATCTGGCTGTTTTAAATTATGTCCTTTGATAATATACTAGTGATCTGGTAGGTAAAATATTTCTCTGAGTTCTTTGAGCTGTCCTCAGCAAATTAATTGAAACTCAAGAGGAACATCCAGGGAACCTCTGATTTACCAGTTGAATGGAAGTACAGGTAATAACCTGTATGTAAACTGGCATCTGAAATGTGTGTGTATATGTGAAACTGAGTCCTTTACCTTTTAGAATCTGACACTAGCTCAGCTCAGAATTGGGTTGAATTGTAGGATACCCCTCTGATATCCCCGGATTGCTTGTTGGTGGGGAAAACCACTGCTCACTTTGGAATTGATACCAGAACCAATTGGTTGTTACACACAGGATGATCTTGTTTGCAGGGCTCTGCCTTCATCTTCTAGGGGCCTCCCTTAAAAAAAATGTTTGTAGGGTGAGTGTGGAAACCATGGTCTGGCATATGAAAATGAAAGGTATTTGTTCCAGGCTTCTGCTGGGGCAAAACATGTTAGTCTTTTTCTAACTCCACCTCTGTAAAGTGACCAGAAATCTCCCCTCTCAAGTCTATTTACACCAGTCTTGCACTGATAATAGCAGTGAATTGTGTCCATTTTTCCTTCTCTGTGATTCAGGAGGAAGTTATTTTATTCATGCTGTGCTCTTCAGAAACATTTGATAGTTTGAGGATTCAAACCTAAGTCATCTGTCTCCAAAGACCTGACCATCTGTCATCCCATTGAAACTGAAAAATAAGTTATTCTAAGTATGTTTCTCCTCCATTTAGGTGATTTCCCCTGTTTTTCCTTTTGTGACTTTAGTGATTGCAGAAATCCTTAAAATAAACTTAAGCGCTCAGCTTTCCTTAAGAGTTATCAAAAGGGGGAAATACTTAGTCAACAGTGCTACCAGTCATTCCTTTATGATATTAAGAGATAAACTGAGGCATACTAAAAATTTCAAGTTTATTTGAGCAAAAATTAACTCAATGGGTCAGCACCAAATCAGAAGGAATAGCCCACCAACAGGAGCTGGAGGAAATATTTTTAGGGTGAAGAGGCAGAAGTAAAGCAAGGAAATGGTTTGAATGACAGTAGTTTAAGCCTTAATCTGGGAAAGGCTAGTTGACTGCGATTTGTTGTTCATAGGTTTCAATTATTTGACCTTAAGGCATTGCAGGCTTAGGCTTAATTAGGCGAGTCACA